TGAAGCAATAGGCTATTTATTCTCTTGGGGAAAATAAAACACCATAACTCCTCTATCCCAAATTGCGTTTTTCTCATATTTTAATGCTTCCAAAATCATGATATACCTTACAATGGGTGTTTGAGGGAGGGGGATCTTATCTGCTCCCCATCACAACTGCCCGGGCGTGAGTGAACTTAGCCGTGTGTATCTGTTCATTCAAGCGTTACCTCAGTTGCTTACAGCGATCCACACAGAATTTGAACTTAAACTTAGATCCCTAATTGTCGCCTAGAACTTCTTTTTAAAACTTACACTATAATGGAGCGCGGACGCGAAAAGTTATTGTACATGCGGAAGATCGTCTGCCAGATACCAGGCAATGCAATTAAAGGCAGCAGAAATTGCCAAACCATAGATAGCTACCCTAAAGAAATGCTTGCCCATATGTACAAAGAGACATTTACAAGGATGTTAATTATAGCACTGTTTGTAAGAGCAAATAATTAGAAACAACCTAAATGTCCACCATTTACGGAGTCTACATGGGAAGCTCTCCAAAACAAACTATATGAAAAGAGCTACCGAGTCTGTACAGAATGGTTTACGGAATGCAAAGCCTTGTAATTGGTATACACACATCTGTGTGCACAGAAACCCACAAGTGAGGTTCTGGAAGCTTCACACCACAGAGTGGTCTCCTTGGGGAAGGAAACTAAATTTAGGAATTAGGGGGTGTCGCAGGACTTCCACTTTTTACCCTAAATTTTTCTACACTGTTTGCACTTTTACAGTGAGAATAGAATCATGCGTTACTTGTTTAAACATTGAAAAGAAATAGCCCAACTTCTTGAAGTCGATCATAAAAGTTTGAAAGCCAGCAGGGATTGGTGCGACCTATTCATGGGTCCGACACCTAGGCATCTATATGTCAGAAACTACCTAAGGAAGCTGATGAACTTCAGGAATCTTTTTCCTGCAAGTAAAGGGAAAAAATGAAACTGCAAGTATAACCAAATAGGATCTGCAGATAAAAAAATCCCCAATATTCTTGTGTATGCTTTGAAATGACACCATCTCATTTGGACAATGGTTGCTGAACAGCATCACAACCACCATAGCCTCTCGTAATCCCTACCTCTAATCTTGACCCTTCGGCCCCTGGAAGATGTGGAGAAGGCTGAGACTCATACTCTGTGGTGTTGAAGAAAGTGACTTGGATTGAACATGTAGTGAACGCTTATTTATTCCTTCAAACGAACAAGAACTACAGCCCTCTCCTCTTCTCAATGGCTATTGTCTTAATGCCTCCCGCAAGAGAGGCATCTTAGAATAGAGAGTGTGGCATGCAATATCTACTCCATAAGCTATGTGATGAGAAGTGGGAAATGTATTTACTGTAAGTGACAAAGAGCTACTAATATTACTCTATGGAGGGTCATGGTGACTGACTCAACCGCTATTCTACCCCCAAACGATTAGTCTAAACTAATTGTAATACTCCCTTCCTTGACAGTAATTGGTTAGGAAAGAACATGTGATCGGTCCTAGCCAATGAGGGATGGTGGCAGGGGACTTCTAGGAAAAGACTCCTTTTATTTAAGAAGAGGTAGCAGGCAGTGCCTCCTGTCCTCTGGGCAGTGGTGGGTCTGGATGTGACCTTTGGAATTGCTGGTGCCATCTTCAGGGAGCTACCCTGCAGGTGAAGCCACTGGCAGAGAAGTGGAAGGAAGGGCCCTGGATGCTTCACCCAGGACTCGACCTTTGTAAAGTAATACATTCCTCTGTACAGATGCCCAATGTCATTGATAATCATCAGAGAAATGCAAATTCAAAGCATAATGAAGTATCACCTCACACCGGTCAGAATGGCTATCGTCAACAAATCAACAAACGACAAGTGCTGGTGGGAATGAGGGGGAAAGGGCACCCACATGCACTGCTGGTGGGAATGCAGACCAGTGCAGCCACTGTGGGGAGACGTAGACAGCACAGGGAAAAGTCACTTCCGGG